TTCATCCCTACACTCCGAAGCCTGTTTCGTGGTTGCCCACTCATCAGGAGATTTCATGAGAATAATCTTTACCATGGCTTATATACAGTATGATCTAATTTATGCAGTGCGAAATTTAACAGTTTAGTTGTTGCATAGGAGGGCTTTGTTTCTGTGGCGACAGGAAGACACGAGTTCATTACGTTTGTTTAGTGTTGATAGTTCGGGTCGGCAGATGATTAGGAATTTTTCTTTGAGGCAGAGGTTACATCTTTTAATGTATATAAGCGATGGTAAAGATTATTCTCATGAAATCCCCTGATGAGTGGGGAACCACGACACAGGCTTGTAGGGATGAACTTGTAGTTTATTTGTCTTTTTCCTCCCACAATATATACATCGCTCTACTTCTATGTATTGAGTACTGTTTCACGAAAATAAAAGTTTACACTTTATATATATTTATATATTTATATATATATATATATATAGAATTTTATAACTAACTGCAGAAAGAACTTTTTCGGCCTTCTGGGCCTCATCAGTGCAGTGCTGATGCTAGGATGGGGGAGAACCGATCTGGTCACCCTAAATGATCCCACATTTGTGGTATCGTCTAAGCCATGCGTCATATAAGGAACCGCTCGACTAATCAGATTGCTGGGAACTCTTTGCTCAGCTCTGAAATTATACTAAATATATATAAATATATATAACAAGTTAAAAGGCCTCGAGCCAACAGTGAAGCCGCGCCAGAAGGATCCAAAAGGATTCACAGTCCAAACCTCGATAAATAATAGGAAAAATATTGTAGTGCACGAGGACGGACAACTTCGAGCTAAGAAAGACATATAGTATATGGTATATATGGTATATACATATAGTATATGTCTTTCTTAGCTCGAAGTTGTCCGTCCTCGTGTACTACAATATTTATATATATATATATATATATATATGTATGGAGATTAACTGATGAGTAGACCAACGTTTGTTGGTCTACCAAACAGAACTGTATTTAAATCCATATGTACCGTGAGTAGCCTTCATACTGGTATATATATAGTACTTCTACTGTTTCTTATAATAGTTTCCTCTCGTTCTGTGGTATTGTCTCTCTCGTTTTATTTTTGACCCAACCGTCTGGAAGTTGCACGGAGAGCAACCAGATAACAGTTCTGTCACTAACAGCCAAAAATGAATAGTTTCACATTTCAATCCGCAATCGATCAATTTTAAACCCGTATTAAAGCGTTATAAAATCTTTAAAATGTAATAGTAGAAAGTGTGTAAGCTACTAGATAAGTAGCTTAAGTTATTTCACTTGTTCCTCTTCGGCCATAAACCCCTCTACGTCTGCGCCATTCAAGTCACTCTCATTTCCTTCGGAACCCTTTCGCATCATCTTTGGGGCTCGGTTTTTCCGAGTAGTGCAGTCGAAATTCGATCGGTGGCGATCACGAGACGAAGGACTTGAAAATCCTCGGCCGCATTTTTCACAGGTGTAAGGTTTCTCGCCAGTGTGCATGTTCATGTGAAATTTTAGTTCATACGACTGCGCAAACGCTTTGCCACAGAATTCACAAATGCAGGGTTTCTCTTTTGTGTGCGTGCGTCTCACGTGGCTATCATGTGCTGCATGTGAGGCGAACGCCTTGCCACAATGTCGGCATTTAAATGGCTTTTCTCCGCTGTGTTGTCGGATGTGAGTTCGGAGTATAGATGACGCGGTGAAAGCCTTTATACAATAGGGACACTTATACGGCCTTTCCCCACTGTGTACCCTTAAATGCTTGTTTAAGCTCGAGGACTGCGAAAACCGCTTGCCACACTGATTGCATTGATGAGGTCTGTGTTTCTCATGGACATGTAAGATGTGTATGCGAAGACGGTCACGTTTTTCGAAGGAACGGTTGCAAAGGTGGCACGGGTACTTTCGGTCACCTTGATCTACACATCTCGTGTACTTGAGGTGTTTGTCACGGTAATATTTGTAGGCGAAAACTTTACCACAACGGTCACAAGCAAAGCTGTCTCCACCTGGTGAAAAATGGAATTGAAGTAAGTGCACAGTCAAATAGTTGGGGGGATTTAAGGTTCGAAGTTTAAGGACTCCTTGAGAACTTCACGAAGTCAAAGGTAAACTGTCCCTTTCGAAGATGCAGTTAAACCATGTTCCCAACAAATCCATAACACAGTAAAACCTCAAAGCATTTTCTCTTAATCCTTTAGACGTTAAGTGGATGATATATCTAGATCCTAATTAACAAATGGTAAACACCACAGCGTACACTATTGAGTTATGGATGCACGCGGGAGGTTGCTAAGCACGAAAGAAGCGTAAGAGTCACTCGAGGCGATAGCCGAGAGCGACTCTAGCTTCTTGAGTGCTTAGCAAACCTCCCAAGTGCATCCATAACTCAATAGTGTACGCTGTGGTATTTACCATTTGTTTTATAACATAACATTGATACATCGTAGCTAAAGAGTTCCCTTTTATTTAAGAAATCTTACGCAACCAGAAAAAAACAAGCGCGCGCGGAAAAATAGTCTTTGCATTTGCTCACGTCAGCAGCGCACACCCATGGGCAAATGGGGGACGCTGATTTGACCAATCAGAGCGCGCGCTTTACTTTGGTATGTTATAATTACTTACCGATTCCCCCTTCACTGTCTATCTTGGTCATTTTGGTCTTCATGGTGATGGGAATACCCATATATTTAAGGTAGCTATCTCCGTACCATACCAACAGCTCACTTCCTTCAGCAATGTCCTTGTTGACTTCATAAAACAGCTCTCCTTCTTCTTGAATGAGTATCAGGTTCTGCTCGGTCTCGTGCCTGGCACAGTTGACGTATTTCATCCAGTTTGATTGGTCACCTGCTCCGTCCACATAATGTGTCAGTTCACCGTCTTGAAATATCTGAGTTATTAACAGATACGATATGGCTGTAAACTTTCCCTTTAACTAATAAATGCAAAATCAGTTCGATAAGAGAATCCCAGTTAACCAATTTAATTTCTGTAACTATGTGAAGTATGAAAAATGTCTCAAATCTGAAAAAGCTAAGTAAGCAGGCAATCGATCTGCGTTCAACAAATCTATAGAAGTAAATGTAGCGTAGACAGAAAGAAGATGAGCTATTTGGGGTACATGCAACTCCATTCAAAACCTCTCAACGAACATGATAGTAGGATTGAGGTCTACCAAAAGAACTTACGGTAAGGCGGTAAGGTGTGTTTAAGTGTTCGTTGTATCGAAGTTACCCCTTAAACTCTTACATAGACAAAATATGAAAAGAGATCAAGACCCACAAGAGTTCCTTAGACACTGACGTGACCACCATTCTATCGTTTATCGACCAGTTTGATCGCCGTGACGTCATGCGAAAATGAATCATAAGCAAATTACCTCCCAAACACAGTCTTTTTCCAGTGATCTCATTTCCAACGGTAAAACAATACTCCCCGTGTATGGGCCAAACCGTGTACCTTTCGAAATCCTCTTCTGACCACAAAATACTGCTCTGTGTCTTCCAGTTGGTAAAACTGTCTCTACAATTTTAACAGTCTCAGGTAAGTTTTGGACGCAAAGCTCTTCCTGAAACAACTCCATACAAGGTATGGGGTGGCACGTGTTGGTTTCTTGATGCACTTGAGCAATATTGGCAAGCCATGGGTTCCACCGCATTTCTAAAAAGGAAAAGGTGCTGTCAGATGCCAATAAGGGATTTCTTAATAAGAATATTAGATCTTATTGCAATTTATTGATTCAAAAGTCGGTGCGAATTTTCTAGACTAATCCACGACAAATGAAAGCAAAATTAAAATAGATTAGGATCACTTTCGATAATCAGTTGAAAATTGCAGCAAAGTAGACTCGATCAACTTACAGAACCACTGGTTCTGCAACCAGAACCAGTACCACTGGTTCTTAACTGCGCATGCTTACCATTACTTGGTGTGTTGATGTAGATACCAGACAGTGCAAAACCATTGGTTACTTTTTCTGGAGTACGAATGTATCCGTAAAGTACATTGTCAATGTCTTGTTGCGTAAATGTAAACGAAAAGTACACAGACGAATCAGCGTACTCCATCATTTACAAATACAGGCTGAAAGATGACAAAATAACGCAGTTTAAACAAAATTAAACACCGAAAGCCTAACTGTAATAACAATAACAGTATAACAATAACCGGTTATCCCCATAAAATACCCTTTGATGACAGGTTTTCAGGGTCACGTGGTCTATGGATTTTTACAAACATGGCAGAGCCTGGGTCCTACGAGAAAATCTGGAATCTTTTTTTACAGATGAAGTAATACAGATGAAAGATCTATGAACAGACTCAAATTTCCTGGCTTTGTTTTAAGTTGATTTTCAGCTTTGATATTTCAGGCTTACAGTCCGCAGCCTTATTAACCGCTCATTCGATACAGATGGAATTTTGAGAATCAGTCATATCTGATTTGTGAAAAACGCTTAAAATAATTGGGAAAATATCGTGATAAAAAAGACTTCAGGACTTAATTTTAAGCAGAAAACTCTCGAACAAGACATACAAGTAGGCAGATATTTCTTGCAGCCTTGAAAAAATGCGCAAGAAAATAAAATACATTGTGAAAATACTGCCTCGTGAATAATATCCAATTCATTTTTCTGACTATATTAAATCCGCATATGTCCTCGATGCTACAAAGACCAACGAACATCAAAGCGGCCTAGTTAATGTAGTTCTGAATCTAAAACAGCAAAATCTAGCGTAGTCAATATGAATTGCTTCCGTTATTAAAAAAAGATTCAATAGACTTGGATTTCCTATAGTTAGACTAGTATTTCTGATTGGTTTAATATCGCCCAGAGAAAAATAGATTGCAAATTATGGCTGTGTCATTTTTTAATTGCCGGAAACTTTGCAATCTGTTCCTAACAAGGATTTTCCCCATGTTTTGAGTCCTCGGGAAAATGCCTTTCTCTGATTTCACGCAAGCTCCAACATTGTTTCAATTTTTTCATTCAATTTATAGTTTTATTTGGTCAATGTGAATTTTTTTCTTCTTTTTTGTTTTGGTAAATGTCGGAAAATAAAAATGCGCCCTGAGCATATACAGCTGACTTAACCCAAAATAGGCAACGATTCTTTTTACCAATTTTCCGAATATAGAAAACTGTAGCGTTAAAAATATACAAGAGAACTTAACTATTGGGGATATGACTTGGAATAAAAAGTTCTGCCCATCAGGTTTTGCAATCTTTGATTTTGCTTTGGCCTTTCCCCGTTTTTTTCTTTTTAGTCATTGAACGGGCTCAAAACAGAAGCTTTGGAAGGAAAAGCATTCTCTGTGAGAAAAATAAGGAGATGCAAACATTTTCACTGAAAGTTTAAACATACTTGTTGAAAAAATCAACAGAAATATTTACCGAACTTAACTTGATTCCGGAAAATAATATTCAGTTGACTGCATTGTTTTTTCTCTGTGACTCTCTCATAAAGCCCTATTTTTAAAACTTGACATTCAGAATTACTTCAATAACTGCATACATATGCCTCGAAAATTTAGACGTTAAGATACGTTACCGAGTTTCAACGCTTTCTTTCTTCTTCCATGATAGGGTGGTAAAAGCTCATATGTAACTACAACCTGGAAGACCTAGACTTTATAAAAACCGGGATTACATCTTAATAACTATTTAGCATGACTGAAAAAGCGTGTATATTACCTTATAAGTCGAATGAACAACTCTGAGGTTATATCAGCGTTTTGATGAGATTTTTTGCCAGATCGATGTGATTCTCTTGACTTTAACTTTAACGTACTGTGAAGAGGCAAACTCTGTTATGCCAAATGAAGAGCTTTTTCGTTCATTTATAAACCTCATTTGAATAATACGTGGTTGCTCCAGATGTTAGCAAAGACAACAAGTTAATAGCAGGGAGTGAATTTTTGCTATCGCCTGCGATAAGATTGGTTTTGTTGTTGTTAAACAATCTAATATAAATTAACAAACTATTTTTAGTGAAGATCTCTACCAGGAACTAAGCGATTAAGAATGCCTTTTTAAGGTATTTCAATGTCTGAATTAACTTTTAAACTAAACTGAATACATTTTCCTGGATTTTTGTCCTCGATTCGTACCTTGTTTTCAAATCAACCAGACTGAAATATTCATGATCTTTGATTCTTATCCGAAATTTTAATAATTAAGTACGGATTCCCATCGAACACAAGCAAAAAATGCTAGATTTTGCGACGCTCTTCTCAGCCACAAGCTTATTTTGCGGTGATTTCTACGTGCAGGATGCTATTAAAGGTGACAATTTCCTTTGCAATTATTTGACTTACTCATCATTATTTCCTGTCTGTACTAAAAACAAGAAGAACTTTTACTTTTCCAACAGGAAAAATTCCTTCAGCGAAATTCATCACCAGTGTTACTTATCGAAGGTACAATCTTTTCATTTCGCCGTCCAAAGACGAAAGCTGTTACTTGATAGCAATCCCTGGAGGTTCTGACAATGCCTGGGTTATTACAACCTAACACAATTATTATTATTTATTGAAGGTCTTGCTAAGGCGTAAATTCACACTTTTAAATGAACATGCTTTGCTTTCAACGTGATAAACAAAACGCAGCCACGGAATCAAGATGGCTTGCACGTTACCGCTCAACGCATATGCCCAAAAGACGCGGACCTGTAATAGAACTCGGCTTCTGTTTATTTGAAAGCGTGTTTACTCTTTAAAGACGCCCTAACTTCTCTTATGCCAGCCTTTTTATGTTGAAGTGTCTAAGCTCACCTCACAGAGCGTAATTTCTGTCGTATCTATCAATAGAGCGCAATCCTTTTTGTTGTCTTCGGAGACTAAATTATTCTCAAACAAGGAAAGATTACTCTGCAAGTGTACGGTTGTCAAAATAAGGTAAATATTTAGACTTTTGACCATGGAAAAGCACAGTGTGCGGCTGTTCGGTAGAGAATTTCGGAGTCTCCATTACGGGAAAGTCATAAACCTGTAAATAAGGTTTTCATTGTGAACTCTCGGTGGATTAGAAGGCCAATTTTATGAAAATGTCTACCGTAAATGCATTTCCGCAATGGCATTATTATTCTGATCTGTTCTTTTAATGCCAACCATCAAACCAAAAGTTGAGAAGAGAAGCTAGCAGAGGGTGGCAAAATATTCAAAATAGAAAAAGAAAAAAATTAGGCCAGGAGTTAGCTCAAGAGTTTGTTTCAGCCGAGAAGGAACCAGAATACTCGTCGCAAATTTTATCTCTGGTACTGAGCAGATTCATTTAATGTCATTGTCTTCAAAAAATAAATTTCTAAATATAATGAACGCATTAGTTGAGATAAAGTTGTCCCAATATCTAAATGAGGGACAGATGTGAAGAAAAAGGGGGAAACAATTGAACACTCTGCAAAGTCCCACAAGGAATAGTAACTTTGTGAACATTTATATTTGTTAAAACCGCCGTACTTTAGAGATCAGCAATTGCGCCCTAATAACAGTTCAGGCTATGCTCTCTTCCATTTTCATTTTAATTCAATGTTGGAATTGAAAAGGATTCAAAAGGAGCTGTCAATATCGAGAATTAGCAAAATAATTTGATATCGATTTTCGTTTCTAAACAACGCTCTCATGAACAATTCAGTGTTTTAAAAGACCTTGTCAGAGGACTGATAATTTTCAATGATGATACCATCTCGCACTGAAAAGCACGTGCGAGTTGTTTAAGCAATGAGTTAACTGCGGTATAAAACCAGATTCTCTTTGAAGAGCTGGTTATTAAATATTTCTCAGGAAGAAACAACACTAATAATCAAAGTTTTCGCCAGCTTACCTACTTGGCAGAAGATAGTTTGATTTTTAAATTTTTTCCATTGGCAACATCGACAATTTCGTTCTTAAATTAACCTCTTTGGGCATTAAAACAACCACTTTTTTAATAGCCTCAAATATGGCCCTTCCGTTAGCGACAAGAAAAGTATGAATATTGTGGTATTTCGCGTTGTTTTCGGGTGGTTTTTTTGTCCTTATCTTACGCCGGCCTTCTCGACGCGGGCCTTAGTGGAGAGATTGAATCAAGGGAGAGATGTAATATTAAGACTTCTAAGTTTAACTCGAAAAATTTAGTAAATAACTCTAGTGTTCTCGATGTGTTGCATAAAAAGACCAAGCTAATTGGTTCCAAAAAAAAAAAAAAACATCCCCTTGAAAATAAGAATTCAAACAACGGATAAGTTATCAAAAATTAAAAAAAAAAACCAAAATTATGCTTTTGATATCGCGAGCTGGCATCGGTACCCAGTCGGCATTCTTGTTATTACTCAAAATAAATTAATTATCCATAGCGTCGCGGGATGGAACCAAATAAAACTCAGATATGACCTTCTAGCATGGACTAAACTTAAATTAGCAAGAGAGTTGTGGGTGCGATAAAATCTGCATAACTATGAAAGGACTTCGACATTATTAACTCGAGCAATATGACGTATGTCGCATATTTGTAAATTTTACAAAATTTATTGGTTCATTTTTGCTAATTACTTTATTCTTGAACTAGTTTGAGTTTTCATCTGTGATTTATGTGAAAGAAAAATTAGCTGTAAGAAAGGATAAAGAGATCATTAATAAAATTAAAATTAATGTTAGCTTTGGTTGACTTTTGCTCTATTAAAAATTTATGAATATTCTTTAGGCCGCGTCGGGTTATTTGTAAAGTTAAATGAAATATGTGCAAATTGTTTTACTGCAAGTTGCCTTTACCATGCTCCAATAAATTGCTGATAGAAACAGCAAATAGTTTGAATAAAAATCTGAATGCTGTAGTCTTTCTGAACAAGGATACAAAACTGGTTTGTGAGTGTAATATCTTCGATGGTGGTTTGACTTAGAACGTATGTTCTGGTTACTTAAACTAAGATGTGTTTCGAGATTCTCAAGTAATTACAAATCATTGTGTTTTATTACACCCTTTGTTGCGTAAAACTGATTTTTTTTGTTTGTCTGCAGCTCAGAGCATGTCATCGTAAAAACAAAGTACGGGAATGAAAAAAAACTCATTATGGACGATAAGTCAATTATTCTCTTTGCATTCTATGTTATGTTGCAAATGAATAATTTACCATTATAGAATCTAGATCCTCAAATCTCCAAACAAGCTAATTAAACCGGATGGAGTTGTTTTAACATAAAAGATCAAACAAAATCCACCATTTTATAAACGCCTGTGGAATCTTCGTCGTCTGACTGAACAGGAGTTTCGTAGTTTGCTTATATACTTTGATTCAGTGCCGAGGTTCGGTTTATTGAATGTTTGTTCTTCGAGTCGTTTTTGGATATATTTTGCGCTTATAATTACTAGTGTTCATTTAAATGCCTCTCCACATGACTCGTAAAATATCTATTCAAGAATAATCTTTTCTTGACCAAAAAAGATGAAAATGGCTGAACTTGTACTTAATGACTCCCTTATACCACCAAACATTAACATGTTTATTTGGAATTCGTCATTTTCTTACATTAGTCGTTACGCAGCCCTCAGCTGCACAGAGCCACAGAGAAATGACTAAATATTACGTGGTTTACTTTCTTGAAGGTGGAGCTTCAATTTTTTTATCAAGTTACGAGTAAGTGACTTGCTTCAACGCGGGCTCACCTTGATATCATGATACGTTACTCTGATAAAGTCTTCTTTTTTTCGCTAATAGGTTAGAAAACGATCTTTTGCTTTGACCATATAATATCTCATAGGAGAATAGATTTTTTCCAATCAAGGTGTAAGTTGAAGGTTCAAGAGTTGTTAAGACTCGCTGATGTCGAAGTAGACGGCTGCGAGAAGTTGATTATGACATTTTCTAAATTAAGAAAATTATCTCCCTTGTAAGCGTAAACAAATATGCGGTAAGCTTCCCTGTACCAACTTCTTGATGCAGCACACCGGGTATTTAAGGTACATCTTTTACAGAGTTTTCACATTAGTTATTTTGTTACCGATCAGAAATCTTTCCATCTTAAAAGGTCGTTTCTGTAGAGACTGGTACGGGTTGTCGTCTTGTAGGGAGGCCAGTGGGCATTTGTACTTTATTCCAATCAGAGTAAACTAATATTGGACACGTACGTTTGTTGGCCTAAATTATTGTTCATACACTTATTTCCCCTTGTTATTCGTAACAGTTTCACCGGGTCTCCTCAAGCCTTTTACTTGCAGCTGGAACAAAAAATGACTGTCAAATTGTTTTATTAAACAAGGAAATGTCCTTTAGCCTCAGGAGATCTGCTAAATTTAGAATGGGCTATGCTTATGTCAACAATTCAATCAGTAAAATCTTGTTATGTAACAATTAAGTTTCGGCACGTTTCTTTCAACAAACATTGTGTGGCCATAGATGCCACATGTAAAATTTGTTCTATAGTGCGTTTTTTAATAAATCCAGAAATAGGCCAAATTAAAATAAATTGTAGTAAAGACAGTGATTAATACATTGGCATCTGTGAGATATTGTTGCAAGCCATTGTGTTTCCAAAATAAACGAACAAGTTCAAAGAAATCTATGATAAGAAAAGAAGCAGGCCTCGTAATAATAATAGCTCGGAAAAGCGAGCAGCGATAGAGAGAGTAATCACGCAACTTGTGTGGTTCGGAGCAGTTTCGATTCAGACAAGAGAAATTTCAAAAAATTATTTTTAATAAAACTGAAGA